CTGATAAAGGTAAACACCACCGTATTGATGAGCAGACAGGTCAAACTAAACGAAGGTCAGGTTCTGCTTGATGATTTAAATAACTACCGATCTCTAGACAAACCAATGGTTGAAACTACAACCAAAAAAGCTCAACAACTTATTAAAACACTGCTCTCAGAAGGCCACATTGATAAAAGGATGGCTATAAATGGCTCTCCCTTACGCCCAATCCTCCGCGAATCCCCGTGTTTTACACACTTAATAAAATGCACAAACCAGGACGGAGGACCTTTTATATCAGGGTGTTCCGGACCTACAGAACGGATCTCACCATTTGCTGACCACCTTATTCAGCCAAAAGCACAACTACAAGCTTCGTATCTTAAAGATACGACAGACTTTTATTATTAACTTCATCGAGCGGATTAAACTGTCTAAAAGTGCCATACATGTTTCAATGGACGTCACAAGCCTATACAAAAAAAAAAAACACAACGAGAGGGTATTACCACTGTATGCCTTGCATACGAAAAATTTCACCAAGGAAACCCTCCAGTCCCTACCCGTTTTTAAGCGAAATGCTTAGTCTGATACTACTAGAAAACTCGTTCCAATTTAATGAGAAAGATTATCTTCAAACCCATGGAACAACCATGGGCACGAAAATGGCCGTAGCCTTTGCTAACATCTTCATGGCCAAAATAGAAAAAGAAATACACTCAGACAGAGCAGCATTAAGCCCATCTTTTGGAAAAGGTTTGTCGATGACGTCATATCAGTATGGGACACAAGCAGAAACGAAATAGAAGAATTCCTTCTACAGGTAAACAACTTCCACCGTAAGAAAATACTATCCTTTGTAACGCAATACCACCCTGCGTTGCCCAACCTCAAGAACATACTCATGGGGAAATGGCACTTTATACAGAACCAACCATATCTCAGAAACATCTTTAAGGAACCTCCCCTCATTTCATATCGCAAAGGAAAATCGCTAAAAGACACTCAAGTAAGAGCTAAACTATAAAGGCTTTAAGACCAATCTATTTGCGAACTGCAGGAGTCGTGTAGGCCCCTCAACACTTTCAAACCTTGAATTCCAACCTGTCTGCTCGGTTTCAGTCCCTCTCGGAAACAAAACTGATCAAAAATTGTCGTCTCCCTTCTTGATTTAAAAGACATGCATCTTGATTTAGAAAACGTGTCTCTTGATATATGACATGAAACACGTGGGAATTGAAATTAAATTCTACAATCTTGACACATTCAAAAAGCAAATTGATGTTAATTTTATTGATCTTGATAGTAATTTGGTGGATTTGAAGTATAAAGTTGCATCTTTGATATTTTGTCACTTTTGGCGTAGCATACTTTGTATTTGACAAAGTATTTTTGGCAGGAAAGGCACTTATACCTTAAGGGTTTAATTCAATCAAAGTACTGTATCACTATTGACCCTGGAGTTACTTGAATTTTTTCTGCTTAAGGATGTTTCTGTTTTACAATCATATGCCAGTGTACTAAGTCTTGTTTTGCAGTCTTGTGAGAGACATGCAGTATTCCAATTTAAATTTGCTATAGTTTAGGAAACAGGGCTGATTGTTTAATCATTCCTTGTTCTGCTTTAAATACTTGTATTAAGAAACAAGCATTTTTTACTTGCAATGTTGTATGATTATCTTTTTTATGAAGTTATTGGTCAACTATGTTGTTGTTGTTGTTTGTAGAGAACGGTTAACATAACCATTAAAAATGTTGCTGAAGACTATTATTTTGAGGTTAATGTAATTCATTATTATCAGTTAAAACAACCGTTTTCTTCTAACCCATATGGAATTGTTAAAGCTACCACCTCTTGACTATTTTAAATGGGTTACCACAGATTCATCACTAGTACCCAAAAAACTGGTTTACCATGACCACAAAAAATGGTTATTATAACTTATCTGTATGGGTTGAAACATATTTATCTTTTTATTTCGGTTATAACAACTAAAAATTTAAAGTTAGTTTAGCCGAAAAGTAGAGGTTATGACAAACAAGTCATAAGAAGTGGCGTGGGCTGCGGTAGAAACAACCATTTTTAAGGGTTAATGTAACCCATAAAGAAAAGTTATTTCAACGGGAATAAAAAATGGTTAACCTGAACTATATTTTTTTGGTTACTGTAACCTAGTAAAATACGGTTACCTGGGATTCAAACCTTAACCATTTTTTTGAGGTCACTATAACTGGTCAGTTTTTACAGTGTAGCTTTAATCGCAAATCCCCACGCGTAATACATCTCCAAAGAAGTAAACCTGTCAAACTAGATATACAGATGTACAGTTGGTATACAGAAAAACTGGAAAACGGCAAGCAGAAAAGTAAGAAATTACGCCTTTCCGGGTTCTAGCATCATAACATAACAAAACCAGCGCGCACGCGCAGAAATCCGTGACACATACATGACGTAAAAAGGCGAAGCACGGGTGATAAAGCTTTTTCCATTCGATATCATAGTTGCCGCTACAACGTTCTTTTTTATCCATACTTATTAAAAAGTCGTTTTGAACCTTTAATTGAGCAGTCGCCGTCGAGTCAGTGAATTACTTACGGAAGTCGGACTGGAATTTAGGAAGAGGGACATTTTTTCACAGTGGAAGAGAAGGTGTTGAAATGCAGGCTTTTCCGCTACTTCGGAAATGAATGGAAGATTACCGTGACTGGACGGAAATGTGTGTAGACCAAATCAAGTCCAGGCTTTTTCAACAGAGGGAGGACAACAGCGGTTCTCCAATTTTCTGGAACGTGACCATGCATTGAGAAGAGAAAGATTGACCATCCTATAGATAGAGGGCGCTAATATATCAAGACAGGACTTCAATAGCCATGTAGGAAAAGGATCCAACTGACAAGTGGCACGAATAATCTTACCACAGGCGGACCATCCGAACTGTTCGAGGCATCATGACGTCAGTCTCGACATTTACTGTATTTCGCAACACCTGCTCTCGGTTTGATTAAAGTGATCGGAAGCAATGCTTCAAAAGAAATGCTTTTCTTTTATTAGGGCTTTACAAAAATAGTTTAAGAGAGTTTAAGTGAAAATCTGGGAATATAACAGAACACCAAGAGAGGATAAAGAGGCCTTACAGTCGACTCCCGATAACTCGAACCTACAAGGGAAATTGAAAAATGTTCGGGTTATCGGGAGTTTGAAGCAAATAACCGGGAGTAAGAAAATAAGCAAATGGACAGGGAGGGAATGCAATTAAGCAACAAAGTATACAAGGACGGACACTGAATTTGAACTGGAGTGACAAAAAGGTAAAGACAATGAATTGACTCGGTTGTTTTGAAATAAATTCAATGTTTCGGACTTCAGTACACGGTTTTCTTCCCGACTTGTCACGCGCTTATAACATAGTTCGAGTCATCGCGGGTAAAATTGTATAGGAAACAAAAATTACTACGAGTTAGCAGGAGGTTCGAGTTATCGAGAGTTTGAGTTACCGAGGGTAAAGTTACAGTACATGTAAGAAGGAAATCCAGGGGAAATCGTCTATGGTTCGAGTTAGCGAGGGTTAGAGTTATTGGGAGTCAACTGTATTCTTTCTTGCACACACTCAATGTTGGTTCCCTTGGGAAACCAGTTAGTCAGTTTTGTTTACCTTCGAGTTCTCTCCTTATCAGAACCCTCAGGAAAACAAAACTAACTATTTTCCACAGGCTGAAACTACTAAGAGGTGAAATTGCATTTCAAAAGTTGTTTTCTAAAGGTAACGGCCGACCATGAAGATTATCCAGTTTTAATTAACAAATAACTAATTTCTAGCCATAAAAAAACTTTACACCAAGACATCTCGAAAACGCTCTCGTAGCTTTTGCTCAAACTTCACGAACACTGGGGCAGTTATTGGACGAACAAGCTCCCCATAACGAAAAAATACGGCTGCGAGGAAAAAAGATAATGACGTCATTCCGTTGCTATGACGACTCTGATGTCAACAAGACGCTGCTCATAACAAATTTTCATGTTTGTCTGTATTAAATCGTTTTTCCATATCTTTGTCAATAGCGACATAGTGAATGCTTAAACTTAGGAGGTATTCAGTGGCCCTAAAAAATCCCCTTGAGCCACCTTAAGTGTATATTGGTAGTATTTGGTATAGTATATGATATTTGGTGAATTTTGCTGTTGTAGCCTTAAGTGAATTTGAATCAAACTAAAAGAAGTCAGGTATACTAGTACTGAGTCCGCTGTTTTCCTCTCATTAACAAATGATAAAAAATGGTGCCTCTATAATAGTAGCAAGGCTTTATTTTGGATGTAGTCACGACACCATAATACCCTCCATAGCATTGAGATAACCTGTGCTGTGCCGGTGCCCATTGACTTAACTTTTTCAGAAACTGATCACAGAAAAAAAGAAAGAATAAATTCCAGTGTCTCCTAGTCAAAAAGCAATAAATAACAAGTACTGTGAAAAAGGCTTGTCAAACAGATTTTATTTGAACTTAACACCATACAATTTGTCGGACACTCAATAACCTTATAAGACTACCAACTACCGCAGGACTTAAGATTGCATATGAGGACTTTGGCTTGCAAAAAGCGAAATTGATTGTCACTGCCTGATTAGACTTGTTTCACGCCAAAATTTAATTATCCTATCAAACGCAATTTCTTACAAACAATCGAAGTTAGGGATATTATAATTTTCACGTAAACAATTCGAGCCATTTTTGTGCAGAGGTGTAACGTCTGAAAATTTCCAATCCTCAGCGAGTAGGCCAGTGGAAAACGATTTCTTTAGCATGTATGTGACTGAGGGTGCCAGTTGCGAAGCGCAGATTTTAGAATGCAGGGCGCGATTCTGTCAGGCCTAAGGGACTTGTTCGGATTAAGTTTTTGCATAACGGCAAACACACAGCAGTAAATATTACCGAATCATTTCCAAGCCCATTTACGATCGAGTTCTCACATTGAGAAAAGCTAGCGAACCGCTTTAATAAGTATACATTTGACTTTTAGGATGGCATCAAACAACGAAGAACCCTCTCTCAAACGCTTTCGCCTGTTGGAGGAGAAAGAACCCAGTACACGCTTTATCAAACTAGATATGGAGAAATATGACAGTTCAGTTCAAGCCTACTCAAACGAGGACCTGGTCAAGATATTTGAGTTTGGACTTAAAGTCAAAGAATCCGCCAGCTTGAATTTAGATGTCAACCAGAAGATAATGAAACCAATTTACGAAACTGTTGCAAAAATCGAGGAGCAAGTGAGAACACAAGTACTTAAAGTACAGGAAGACGTCAATATGAAGGTCAACAGCAACATGACCAACTTTGCGACGAACTAGAAGGCTTCAAACAGAATTTATCCGACCATTTGACCTCAATCGCAAAAGAATTGACAAGCAAAGTTGAAGGAGCAGCCCAGAAAGTACAGCCCTTAGATCGACTTAGAAGAGATGAGCAAGAACATAAGTGAGTCAGAGCAGAAAATCAAAGACCAGATGCGTCGTGAGGTTTCATACTCAGAAAGACGAGTACAAGAGAAGCTTGCAGAATGCAATGAGAAACTCGTTTCGATAAAAAACACTTTGGACAAGAAAAGAAAGGAGATCGCGCCGAAAGAAAAGTAATCGACGTCCTGAAGCAACAGCTTCCAAACTTTACCTTTCTTGACACATCTTCGGGTTCCGATAAGGGCAAAGGAGACATTGAGGCTCAATCGCCAAATGGCCATAAGGTCATGATCGAGGTAAAGGACTGGAAGGTAGCGATAGCTAAAGATGAAACGGAGAAATTTGAGAAGAACCTCGCCAATTCTCCTTACTTCAAGGTGGGTATCTTGCTGTCTATGACGAGCGGGATTGCCATGAGATCTCGGGAAGGAAGATTTGAAATTGCTTTCAATCAAAATCAAAAGCAGTACCAAATCTATGTGCCAAACGCCTCGAACGAGGAACACTTAATCGTGTGGAGCGTGGTAATGGCCGATCAGTTGAAAATACAAGGAGACTTGAGCGAAAGCAAGACCAGTGGGTTGAACATGATCTACAAGAAGTTTGCAGATAACATAAAGCACAGCGAAAAATGCAAATCAAATCTTGAGGCGCTGGAAATTTGTGTTACTAATCTGAAGGAAACATTCTGCCAATTCTCGAAACCGTTAATGAAACCAAAACAGATATATACAAACTTTTACATTCTTGAGACCTGTTTTCAGGCAAGGAGCCTGCCCATCTTATAATCCAGTGTGTGACTGTGTCTTATATGGCATAATATTTTATGACTTGCCACTTTTTATTAGCCAAATACACGATTTGAGCCGGTAGCTTTTGCACTTTTATACACAAGACAATAGGTTTGGGGAGGATTGTTAAGGAAGATATAGTTACAAATACTGTATGACCATGGATAGTAGCATGGTATGACTCAAATATTTTCAATTCAGGAATAGTTTTCGTTTCTCAGTCTCGCTTTGTAGAATCTCTTCTGAGACAGTTTAACAAGCTGTACATTTAATTATTATGGAAAAGAAAGCTTTACTCAGTGTTAAACATTAACATTGTACTTATGACAAAATGTGGTTAAATAACTTTTCAATAAATAAGTCAATAAAACGTAATGATATTTCAGTTTGTGATCTCTGCTTCAATCTTACGTAAACTAGGGAAGCAAATTTTAAAAAGATATTGAGTAAACTGCTCCTGATTTCTTGCGCTTGGAAAGGGGCGTGCGACAGAAAGCGCCTGCCCGAAAGACCCTCGCGAGCCCCGTTCTTTTTTGCGCTCATTCAGTTCCAAGCGCAGCGCCTGCTACGCTAGGCTTGGGTGACTCGATGCGTCCGCAGAACACCCCCCCCCCCCCCCCCCCCCCCCCCCCCNCTACCAAGTTTTCGTCACGGCAGAGCGCTTGCCCTGTTTTGAGATGCAGCCAAAAAATGTTTCAAAAGTAGGTTGAGTTTGATCGTCCGGATGAACGTAGTCCTGAATAGGACTGTTGTTGTTGACAGTGACTGACGTTTCGACAACCTGTGCGGTAGTCATCTTCAGAGTCAAAGTGAGTTGTATCACGTCAGTTGATGGTATTATACCGTGGTTATTGATCTGATTGGTCAATTACGTTGCGATGTTATTGGTCGTCTGTCAGTTAAGCCGTGATGTTATTGGCTATGAGGACTCGTAATCAGTCAGTAATTGGTGCGTTTCGATCCGTCTATGGTCACAGTTAAACAGTCGTCTATTGTTAGTCAAATTGTCAGTTCTCCAGTAGTTCTCTCGTAGTTAGTTTTGCTTGATCTCGTCAATAAGTCGTTTGTACGGCGCTAGTAACTGTTGGCTACAACATTTGTCAGGAGTTTTAACCGTGGCAGAATTAGCTCAGTCGGTAGAGCGCTTTATTCCCGGGCCGGACCAATACTCAGGGTCCTAAAATAACTGAGAAATGAAGGTACTCCCTTTGCTCTCTGCAAGCGGCCAGATTTCGCGTGGCTCGGATGACCACGTAAAAATGGCGGTCCCGTCTCCAGTTGGAGACGTAAAATTAGTGTCCCCAATTAGAACTTTTGTGCTAAATACCTTGACACTCGAATAAAGTACTTTTTTTGTAAAGAATTTTCAGGTAAATTTTTCGCATAGTGGCCAAAGAAATACGCTTTCCAAAGGGAATTTGTCTATTTAAAAATGTTGCATAGAAGTTTTATACATTTTGACTTTAGCTTTAAAGAAAAATTAGAAAATGAGCCCTGAGGGATTTGAGTCGGATTTAGTGTTGAATTTTGCCATGTGCTCTTTTATAAATTTGCGTGATCGGATCCACGATCCAGTATTAAAGTGTTCCACTAATTGCTTTAAAGAAATTTACTTACCCTTCAATCCAATTTTTCTCATAAGCAATAATTATATTAAGAATTATAAGCAAACTGTGAGAAAGTAACATAAGCCTACATAAGCTCTTGCTTCATAACAACAAAGTTTGAGAAAGATTCGTCGTGAATGGGGAGTACTAAGTACTCAAAAGTAAACAAAATATATCCTACTACAAGGAAAAAGAAAGTTTAATTTTAATAATGACTTAATCAGAGCTGGAAGAGCCAAGGTTAAATTTGTTTACTAGCAAAAATTAGCGGGTTGTCACTTCATTTTCGCGAGGGACAAATAGTTACATGTTATTGGATTCGCTGATGATTTGTAAAGCATATGGGTTTTCGAATAAAGTTTTGCAAGAAATAATTTCTTTGTCTGTTGTATCTGTTCATTAATAACATTATTTGAAAACACGGACTTGGGACAACAGAATCTAAGCTGAATTTAAACATAAATTCATGTTTCGCACATTAACTGATTAATAATGCACATTTTTTCTGGTTCTTTTTATGCAGTTTTCATTTTATCTATGAAGTGACTCCGACTCACAAAGTAGCGCGGATTGAGATGAATGAATCTATTTCTAAACGCCATTTACATAATTGTCCTTCACCGAGGATAGCTGCCCTGAAACCTTTGTTGTTTAGATAATTTACTTGGCCTTTTAAGGGAAAGAAGTGGAAAGACTACCATTATGATAATAGCCTCTGCAGTTTGCAATTGGTTGCCTTCCTTATAATCCTATTAAATACCACGCGAAAAGGTGAAAACTTAATTTTTTTTTTTTTATGAACTCGTTGGTAGAATAAGAAATTTATCTCGAATCAGAATAGGCTTCGGATCCTTCAAAGCTAGACTCTCTTTTTCCTTGAAGTTACCCAGAACAAACTCCTCAGTCAAGGCCGAACAAGAAACCATTTTCAATCTTGAATTGGCCGTTATTGTTTACTGAAATAGCTTCCCGCTTTCACACTAATTGATTTATGCAAACAAAATGAGAAAAAGAAAAAGCGAGGAGGAAGAAAGGTGGAGGAGAGAAGAAAACAAGGTTGAACTCTTAGTTTTTACTCTTAGCTTTTTTAAGTGTTTGGACGCAAAGGTCGACCATTTGCATTGGCGGTAACATTTTCAAAAATTCGGCTGGATATAAATGAGCCTTTCTGGCCTCGTTTAAAAGTACGAACTGTTCATTTTGACCGCCCCTAGTTGTCTCATTTTCTTATTGGTCCAAAACGGTTGAAGATAGCCTCTGACCGGCGGGTAGAAAAAGATCTATTTCATTGGCTTGTGGTATCACTCCAGTGATACCTATCGAACAAATATGGCAGGACTTTAAAAAGGTTCATTGTGCTTGCCGCTGCTTCTTTAAATAATTTAGTATCACATCAATGCCACCTTTCTATTTCTACATCTCCAGAAGAGATTTTGTATTCCCGATTAAAAGCACCAAATGAACGGGACGAGGAAAAAAAGGGTTTAACCATATAGGGACGCCCCGCATTTCGACAAAACGGATTCGAAGCGTTTTCAGGGGCGCATGTAGAATTTCTATTCGCCAATAGGGCATGGTATGGTATGGTATTGGTATGGTAACTTTATTATTTATACATCGTATTTCCTTCAGGTACATTTACATTCAAGTATAGAAAACTAACTAAATAAAAACTAGAATTTAAGATAAAAACTAAAATAATAAAGATGAAAAGAAAACACCTCCTTTTTAAGGAGGATCACCCAAGCGTGTGTAAAAATAACATATCGCTAATTTAAATTATTTCACAATCGAAATTAAGGTCCCTTAATTTTCCCTTAGATACATTTAATAGGGGATGACAATTGCCTCACCTCCAGAGCCAAGCTGTTCCATAACACACTTCCTCTATAAGAAAGACTACTTTGATAAAATTCAGTGCGGGGTTGTGGAACAGCCAGCTTGTATTCATTCTCTCCAAGGTTATAACTAGTTAAATCGCAGCGACGAACAAAACGCGAAACCAGATATTTTGGAGCTGTGTTATTTACAATGCTATGCATCATTATTGCTTTACTAACTACGCGCTGATGGACAAGTTTCGACCACTTTAAATTTTGAAACAATTCACTAGTACTGCATTCATAATTAGAGAAAGCTAGAACACGAGCGGCGCGATTCTGCAATTTCTACAATTTAGAAGATAGGTCAGCGGAAAGGTGTGATTAATACCTGAGCCTGGTTCGAAAACAAGTTTGTTCATTATAGGCTGGTGATAAAGAGAGAAAGTGTATCTGGGTTAAAACACGCAGACGCGCCTTTCCTGTATTTCTTTTCACGGTTGGCCAACTTATTATTAAGTGCTTCCAATTCAACCGGCTTCACGGACACTTTGAAACTCTTTTTTGAAAAAAATTCGTTTTGATACCAAACGAACGACCAAAGTCAAACTGTGAACGTGATTTGTGATTGGCCGACTAAAACATGTTGTGCAGCGGTAGTCGGAATAACCGTTTACAGTTCTCGGAAACTTTGTGGCACACTTCCGGCTTGGTTTGCCTTAACTAGCCAATCAAACACCTAGTCAGACAAAACACAGCAGTAACTATTGCAATCAGTTTCCAAGAAGCCTATTAATATTTCCGAGAACCTTATTTGTAGTATTCAAATCATTGTGAATCATCCGAGCTCTCACCTTGACAGAAACTGCCGAAACGCTTTGGTAGAATTTACTTTTAATATGGCATCAAACAACGGGGAACACGCTCCCAAACGATTTCGCCAGATGGAAGAGAAAGAACCGGCCAGTACACGCTATATCAAACTAGATATGAAGAAATATGACAGTTCAGTTCAAGACTACTCAGACGAGGACCTGGTAAAGATATTTGAGTTTGGACTTAAAGTCAAAGAATCCGCCAGCTTGAATTTAGATGTCAACCAGAAGATGATGGAAGATGCTCTGAATTCCAAAATGAAACCAATTCATGAAACTGTCGAAAAAATCGAGGAGCAGGTGAGAAAACAAGTGCTTAAAGTACAGCAAGACGTCACTATGGAGGTCAACGACAATATGACCAAATTTGCGAAGAACGTAGAAAGCTTAAAACAGAATTTATCCGACCATTTGACCTCAATCGCAAATGAATTGACAAGTAAAGTTGACGGAGCAGCCCAGAAAGTACAGCCCTTAGGAGAGTTGAGCAACACCATAAGTGAGTCAGCGCAGAAAATCAAAGACCAGATGCGTCTTGAGGTTACAGACTCAGAAAGACGAGTGCAAGAGAAGCTTAAAGATTGCAATGAGAAACTCGATGCGATATCTAACACTTTGGACAAGCCCAAAAAGAAAGGAGATCGCGCCGAAAGGAAAGTAATCGATGTCCTGAAGCAACAGCTTCCAAACTTTACCTTTATTGACACATCTTCCGATAAGGGGAAAGGAGACATTGAGGCTCAATCGCCAAATGGCCATAAGATCATGATCGAGGTAAAGGACTGGAAGGTAGCGATAGCTAAAGATGAAATTGAGAAATTTGAGAAGAACCTCGCCAATTCTCCTTACTTTAAGGTGGGTATCTTGCTGTCTATGACGAGCGGGATTGCCAGGAGATCTCGGGAAGGAAGATTCGAAATTGCTTTCAATCAAAATCAAAAGCAGTACCAAATCTACGTGCCTAACGCCTCGAACGAGGAACACTTAATCGAGTGGAGCGTGGTAATGGCTGATCAGTTGGTGCAAATAGAAGGAGACTTGAGCGAAAGCAAGACCAGTGGGTTGAACATGATCTACAAGAAGTTTGCAGATAACATAAAGCACAGCGAAAAATGCAAATCAAATCTTGAAGCGCTGGAAATTTGTGTTACTAATCTGAAGGAAAACATCCAGCCAATTCTCGAGACCGTTAATGAAACCAAAACAGATATGTACAAACTTTTACATTCTTGAGACCTGTTTTCAAGTAAGGAAACTGTCCATCTTATAATCGGTGTGACTGTGTCTTATGTGGCATAATATTTTATGACTTGAAACTTTTTTATTAGCCAAATACACGATTTGAGAGGTAGCTTTTGCACTTTTATACACAAGACAATAGGTTTGGATTGTTAAAGACGAAATAGTTTCAAATACTGTATGACCATGGATAATAGCATGGTATGACTCAAATATTTTCAGTTCAGGGATATTTTTCGTTTCTCAGTCTCGCTTTGTAGAATCTCTTCTGAGACAGTTTAACAAGCTCTACAAGCCAATTATTATGGCAAATAAAGCGTTACTCAGTGTTAAACACTAACATTGTACTTATGACGAAATGTGGTTAAATAACTTTTCAATAAATAAGTCAATAAACGTAATGAGATTTCAGTTTGTGATCTGTGCTGCAATCTAACGTAAACTAGTGAAGCAAACTTAAAAAAGGCATTGAGTAAACTGCTACTGATTTCTTGCGCTTGGAAAGGGTCGTGCAAAAAAGCACCTGCCCGAAAGACCCTCGCGCGCCTCGTTCTTTCTTGCACTCACAAACGCAGCGCCTGCTACGCTAGGCTTGGGTGATGCGCCCGCAGTACTCCCCACACACGAATAAAGTTTTGCAAGAAATAATTTCTTTGTCTGTTGTATCTGTTCATTCATAACATTATTTGAAAACACGGACGTGAGGCAACAGAATTTAAGCTGAATTTAAACATAAGTTTATGTTTCGCACATTAAGTTAATAATGCACATTTTTTCTGGTTCTTTTTATGCAGTTTTCGTTTTATGTATGAAGTAACTCCGACTTCACAAAGTAGCGCCGCGGATTGAAATGAATGAATCTATTTCTAAACGCAATTTAGTTACATAATTGTCCTTCACTGAGGTTAGCTGCCTTGAAACCTTTGTTGTTTAGATAATTTACTTGGCCTTTTAAGGGAAAGAAGTGGAAAGACTACCATTATGATAAAAGCCTCTGCAGTTTAATCTTTAATCATAGTTCGTGACCATAGATAACTGATACAAATGAACTAATGATAACATATACAATCGAACAAAAATGCAAAAATGGTTAACAGTTTGTTTGCCTTCTGCATATAATCCAATTAAATACCACGCAAAAAGATGAAAACTTAAAGATTTTTATGAACTCGTTGGTAGAATAAGGAAATTTTTTCGAACCAGAATATGCTCCGGATCCTTCAGAGCCAGACTCTCTTTTTCCTTGAAACTATCCAGAACAACCTCAAGGCGCCGAACAAGCAACCATTTTCAATCTTGCATTGCCCGTTATTGTTTACTGAAATAGCCTCCCGCTTTCACACTAATTTATTTATGCAATCCTAAAAATTGACCATTCAGAAACCAGACTGCAAATTTCTGCGGGCTGGCTTCTGATTGGTCAGTTTTAACAATAGCTTATCCCTTGAGCTCAGCCTCGGTTGAGAGTACTGCTAGCCTACGTGTAGCCGCACCCTCCCCCCTACCAAGGAAAAACGGAGAGAGAGAGCTTCGGCTCTCCCCGTTTTTTCCTTTGCCGGGGGGAGGGTGCGGCTACACGTAGGCTAGAGTACCGCGGGCGCATGAGACAACCAAGGCTGGAGACTGAGCCTACTGCTTTTGACCAATAAATCTCCTGCAGTTTTCATACGCGATACGCGCTCGACGATCTCTAAAAAGAAAATGCAAGGGACTGTCACTGCAAGGTAGGCTCGGTTACCAGCCGCTGTTCGGGAAATGAGCCCGCGCTCCTCTCCCCCAACAACGAAAATCGAGCCAAATGCAAGGGCTGTGAACATAATATTACATAACAATACTCTTTTCGGTAATATTAGCATGTTCTGGAATTCGTTTCAATCTCCATGAGCTACCATCTCTCGTATGCGACTATGCCCGGAAAGCGATCACCAATATCCAAACCATCAATTTTTTTTTCAGTTTCTGCCACTCAAAGCCTAAAGATGGAGCCATTAGTAAACATAACCAGCTCTCCCATTGCGATCACCTTTAGGGGTAACTGTTGATTACTGTTTTTAACCCCTTGTAAGCGACCACTTGACGCCGCATGTTCTGCTATTATTTGTTCACTTCATGTACAAAGCTGACTTTGATAGAACAGACAAGAATGGCTCTTGGTGATAGCATGAAACTACACCTATCGTAAGCAATGAATATACTCGTGTACGCCAAAATCGAGAAAGCGAAAGAAAGACTCTGGCTGTTTACTGACAGCCGGGGTGGTCCGTCGTCTGCGTACGAAACTCGCTCTTGGTGTGAAGCTTTTAGACGTCGTTTTACAGGGGCACCCAACGAGAATATAGTTCAAAACAACTTAAACATAACATTGTTAAACGTATTTTAGTATTTAAACGGTAAATATGGGCATATTTTTATTCCTAAAACTTTTTCATCTGTTCGGATTTCCTAGCTGAAAGCGATCCGAAAAGTATAGGGATCAAAACTTACCTTTTCGAAAATTTCAGCCAGAAAAAAGGCTCCCGAAAATTCTACGTGATCTTTTCAGGGTAAAAATCCGTTAAAAATGGGCAATTATACCATTTTTTAGATGTTCGAAAATCCTAGGAGAGGCAGGCAAGCAAGAAATTTTAGAAATTTTACAACAAATGTTCCGAAAATTCTAAATCTCAAATCGTCTTCCGAACAGATATTTTCCGAAAATTGACGTTGGGTGCACCTGGTTTTACACTACTACGATGAGGTTAAACTGAATTGTTAACGCACAGGGCCATAGCAAGCCTTTAGAAACTAGGTGGGGCACAAAGATTTTAGGTAGCCTGAGAAAACAGCCGACATTTCGCGACCCCACCACAGGTTTCCCCGCAAAATTACGTCTGAGAAACGAGCGGAGAAATTCCATACTGATGACGCGTCACTACCCAGATCTGGAGGACCCATTGGACTGTTCTCTGTATTTCAAAACCAGAAAGTGTTTCATCTAGCTGCAGAGACAATATCGTTTTAATGCTCTGGGAGATGAAGTTTTATTTTAACTTTTAATGCGTGGATGTTTTGACTTTATTGGGAAAAAAATTGGGGGCCCCCTCCCTATGCTACGGTCCTGAACGTGCCAGAGTAAAAAGTGTTTGTCAAGGTAGTCCAGCTTGTCATGATAGTCTTATAATCTACGAATAGACTGAAAGGTATCACCTGGGTAATCAGCGGCTTGCGGATTAGTATACTTCATACTGATACACATGGGGAGCCTGTTAGTATAGTACAGTAAATACCGGCATATAAGAACCTGGTGATTTAAGGCTACAGGGTGAAATTTGGCATTTAAATACACAAAAATATAAGAACCTGTTCAGCCTGGCAGATAAAAAATAGCTTCTTATAGAAAAAATAAAACACTCCAATTTTGATGGCCAAAATTCTGGATTTTAAATGTATGAGAAACTATATCAGGCTGTATATGCAGAGATGAACATGATCAAGAAATTATAATCCAAACAAAAATACTACCCTTTAAGGACACCTAAATAGACCTATTCGGCTAACTCAATGTTGTACCCAATTCAAATCTCCCGGGGTTAAGATTCTTTGTGTACTGTATTTGCATCATAATGTTGCATTCACATTTAAATGATATGGAAATTTCTGAAACAAAACGTTTTATTCCCAAAGGGTTTGAATTGGGTACAACATTGAGTTAGCCGAATAGGTCTATTTGAAATTTTCCGTTGGAGCATTCCCCCCAATCCCCGTAGTATGCTCGGCCATTACGGGTCCGGAATGTACCCACCTGTCCCCCTCCCTCCCCCCTCCCTCCAACCTAAACCCCCCCGCGCGGTTCCTGTCATTTGTTTACTTAGTTTCATCTTGATATAACAAAAACTGATGTCAAATTTAGTTTCCTCTGCCTTTTTTAGTTTGAATTTTCCTTTTCTGAAAAAGTTGGTAAAAATAAAAGGGATTACACAATGCGGGGATGAATGCAACAGAAGTTAGACAAGTTGTCATTGTGAGAGTGGCACCAGACATGTTAGTAATCGCACTGGGATTGTGTTATTTTACAGCTGATTTTACATACCAGAGGGGATCAGGATTCTCTTTAAAAAATTCTCAGTAAGTTACACTTAATTAATGAAAGCAAAGTTAACTGATGAGTACTAAAATCAATGTTTTACTTTTCTGCATTTGGGGTTCCGTTCGTTCTCGTGTTATGGCATTAGTTCTCTTGCTCAATAGCCCCAGTATTTTTACTGTGAAGTTTGTACTCAGTAATTTCCCAGGAGACTGGACACGAGTGGTCTTTTGAATGATAAAATGGCGCGGTGGTGTTCAAGAAATTTCACTTCGATTTGTCTTTAATATTTGATGCTACATCTGAAGAACTGTGTTACCAAGGTTCGATTTATTTCAACAATGACTATTCAGCAAGCGAAGACGGTGTGGAAGAAGGCGGACGCAGTTTGTTTTGATGTAGATAGCACAGTCATCATGGACGAAGGTATCGACGAACTTGCAGCATTCTGCGGGAAAGGAAAGGAAGTTTCTCAATGGTAAGTTTCACGCTTTTACATTAAATTGTCGTGTAATTTGTCTTAAGTCTTGATCGTATAACCGCCATTATAAGATGTGGAGCCCTATCGGCCAGTAAGCTTAAGTAAAATTTGTCTGAACTTTAATTTTTTTACTGTAAAGATAATTAGCTTGTTGTTTAATTACGTAAGATGTGCATGTAACATCGAATTTTATAGCTTCCAAGAAACTGGTTATGAGTTAACCTTTTTACATTGTGTGACCATCTTACAATTCATTTCACTCTGAAAACGTCCATGTTTATATTTGGTTAGTAAAGTGGTCACCTATCTTTAAGTTTCAGTTAACACGTGAGGTTAAGCTTGAGGCTATAATTTATTTGCCGGTGAAAAAGCAAAGCGTTGTCTTAAACGTCTAAATAAGCTTCCAATTTTATCATAAGGTAGGTAAGGATTAACTAACACGAATCAAATGTTGAAAGAAGAGTGATATTGACTTTTTTCGCCGGTTCTTCAGTCCATTTATTCCTCACTGAGTAAATTTTCACATAAAGGAAAAAACCCGGCACGAAGTGTGCACGTGTTAAAAGTCGCGCGTGCAGTGGGCAAATGGGGGAACTGGGTTGAGGTGGCTGAACACAGTTTGGGCAGTTTGTAAGTATATGTCATTTGCCAAATCATGGCAAGCTGAAACTTGGCAAGTGAAAAATATACTGATGAAAGATTTTTATTGACAGGTAAAATGTGATGTTTTCATAATTTCCATGGCAACATGAAGGATTGAATACAACCTTAAATTTCACATTTGCTCTGTTTACATAAAATTCGCTCATTAGATTTTTCTATAAACTTGCTCATAGCTTACTATAATCAATCATTACCATTTGAAACTTATTTGACCAAATTTTAACAGATGGGTTTTCAGATAATCGGTAATATAATTGTACTGTAATTATTAAATGTGTCACAAAATTCGTTTGTTCGACATCATTTTAAAGTTCTCATTATTTAAAATACAATAAAAGTAAAAATTCTGCCAAATATCACAAAATTTTAATGAGTAGATTTTGAGAAATAGTGTCCTCTGTACCATTGCTTTTTTCGCCGCCATGTTTGCAAGTCTAATTTAAAACACGCGCTGTCACGCCAGTTACTGCTGACCGCGCGCAAAACTGTGTCCAGCCACCTTAATCCGCGGCTGTGAATTTCATGTCCGCAAAATAAACTGTACTGCTTGTCAAGAGTGTCTATTCGTGCAGTAGTTTTAGAGGGAAGGTTTTAATTTACTTATTGTCATTGTATAATAAAGTAGTAAAACATATTTTTGTATAACTATTTATTTATTGAATCACTCTACATGTAGCTGGGTACCTGAAAGTGCCCAAAAATGAACCCAAAAGTAAAAATTGTAAAAGAAAATGATGATATCTTCACCAAAGAGATTAGAAGCATGTGCAGTGCAACTTAGATTTTGTAGTTTTTGGTGTCCCTTTGTGGGGCACAAATATGGCTGCCAGAAACCAACAGAAACATATGTTTTTGAGTTTTCCTACTTATGCATGAATTCATCACTTGAGGAACTCATAAAGATTAAAGTAATATTTTTTCTAAGACAAGGAATGTTTAGATAGCAAAATGTAAAAAAATCAGTAACATTTTAACCCACATAAGAGCTTTCCCAGCCGCCAGCTAAATGCTGCATCATGCAAACGCCTGGAAATTCAAACGTCTTCTATCCCAAAATGAAGAACCGAAAATTTGTGTAAATAAAGTTTTTAGGTGCTGTGATACCTCATGAAAGTAGAAACTTGGAAGATAATCAATAGTTTCTTAGTTTGAATTTGGTGACGTCATGTGAAAACCCCTAATACCCCCTAAACAAACCTCAAATATAAATATTTAAGTGCGAAAGTCATGGCCCACTTGGCCAGTTAATGTTAATGGGTTAAAAATGGCATGGAGCCATTGTAGCCTGAAAAATTTACCAGTAAAAAATCCCTTTAGGTTGTAGCCTCAGTTATTCATTGTAATAGATGCCATTATAATAATAATAAGGTTATAATTTGTATCATGATGTAGTCATGTGGGATGTTGATCCTGATATTTTGACAACTCAGTGCTAGTCTTCTTTAGACCTCCTGATGAAGAACAGCAGTAAAGCAGTCAAAACATTAATTGTGATCTACTTCCTGGATGACTGCAGAGGTTACTTACTCATCACTATTAAGAAAACATAAGTTTCAATCTGCATAAAAAAACAACTAGGGATAACATAAAATCTTTAGTTTCAGACATTTAGGACTCAGGGTGCAAAGAAAATCATTTTTACAGCTTGCCATTCGGGCAAGCTGAAGCTAGCATTTACTAGCCCAGACGTCATTTCAACTAGCCCCAAAAGCTTTTTGACAAGCAGAATTGACTTCACAGTTCTTCTGTTATTCGAATTCCTCAAAAACATCACTTGCCCGTCGGGCAAGTTAAAAACAGAAGTCACTAGCCCGATAGCAAAATCCACTAGCCCTGGGCTATCGGACACTACTTTCTTTGCACGCTGGGACTCTCGTTAGAGTGTTAAAAATTGTTGTTTTCTCAAAGTTAACAAAAAAAAATACTATTATAATTGTCTCTGTGTTCAAGGACTGTAAGAGCTATGGGTGGAGGAATATTATTCAGAACAGCCCTACGGGAGAGACTAAAAATCATTGATGTTTCAAATGACCAGGTGGGTAGAAATTTGAGTCACACTGTTGCCACAACATAAAAAGGGTGTTGTTGCAATTTTGCAGTTATAACAAGCTTTAAGCTATTCGCCCCTGAACCACCCAGAACAAGAAGAGAATGGGGAGGAGAGCTAGCAAAAATTAAAAGTCAAGACTGCTGTGTCAATTCTCAACCCAAAAACCATCTCGAAATTTTGCTTTCTGGGTATGCCTGAACTTCAGAGGCTGATAAGATGTGTCTAGACATAAGGCCACAAAGTGCACAACCTGAAAATTGCTTTTTGGTAAGTGTTAGCTCTTAATAGCCTGATGGTGACTAGAATATGGCTTGGCTAGCTTCAAAACACGTTTTTCAGTAAAATTCTTAGCGGTGAATGTGTTAATGTTCATTAGAAGACTTGGAATACACAGTGTACTGTATGTACTTTATGGTAGCAAATTTTGACTCTTTTCCTCCTCCCTGAAACAATAATTATTAAAAATTTGTCACTACAGATCAAATTTTTACAATTAAAAGAAAAGGTTGGAGGGGGGAGGGTATTGTAGGTGCCCTTCACCTTTCACAAAGTTAGTGATTTACAGTATCTTCCTCCAAGAAACTCCACCTTTTTCAAAAGTGCAGATTCTTATGGGGATGTTATGTTATATTTAAAAGTGAAGTGATTTCAAAACATGTAGAAAAGCAATTATGAATCATTACATATATATATATTGCATGCATAGTCCTTCTCCAACCTTACCAGTTCTGCAGATTACAAACGTGATATTGAGCACTTAATCGTTCCTTGTGTTCCTTAATAATTTATATGTGTTTTTCCCCTTAGCTTGAAAGTTTTATTGAACAAAATCCTCTTCGACTGACATCTGGTATAAGGTAAGCTGTTAAACCTGCTGTCCTTACATGATTACTAGGATCACGAGTATGGCTATGTTGTAGTTAATTTTTATTCATTTTTTTCCATTGTTTTTGGGTATGGTAATGAATGCTAATGAATTTGAAACAAAGGAAATATAAAAATTAACTGAAATACAAAATTAACTGCAACAGCTACTAGAATACCATCAATAATTATACAGTGTAATTACCAGAGTGTGACTATTACAGAAATGTCACAAGTTTGTATAGGAAATGATGTATTTTGTGCATGGTGGAAATTATGATAATACAGATGGTGAAGTTAATGTGGCCTCCCATGCAGATGTTCTTAGGGTTTCATCACATATGCCTTCCCCAAAAACGTATCCTAAAAAAAGAAGTGACTAAATTAAAAATTCCTTTCACTTTGTTCTAAATATTAATTGGAGATCATGCGCAAATTACCAGAGAACGCTAAGTGATTGTTGGAATAAAAGGCCAATCATAAGTAGAAAATAAAGTGATGACAGGCCAAACTCAAGTCACTAGTGTGATACGTGACCTTAGAGTTCAAATAAGTGGAGGCCTTTGTATATTTTCTCTCCGTGAAGGTTGGATAAGAGACTGCAAGCAGTCTGACTCGCATTTTTCGTTGCAAAGTTACTTCACGAGTAACCCTTGCACACAAGTGGCGAGCGGCTAAGCTAGGGCATATGAATTCCTTATTGTGACATTGTTATTTGCAATCGCACTGTCTGGGAGAAGACTGGATGGATTTTAACAGAAAAGGTAGACTGCAAGCAGTCTAGTTGGATTTGATTTAGATGCCTTTTTCTCATTATGGTGTTCCTAAGGTTAGACAATGGCAGCATGATGCATTATAACAAAAATTAAGTTTGTAGTAAAGCCGACTTCTGTTCAGCAAATTTAACCTCAGAGGTACTTTTTTCTTTAAAATTTTTGGAGTTAGTCTCTAGCACAGAGGCACGTTATTCTCATGAAATAAAACTGAGGAGTTTGTTCTAAAGAATATAGGGGCTTATCCTTTTCAAAGACCTTTTCTGACTTTGCTAACCCTTGCTGGAGTCTTGTGCCCCGGGTCTTGTGCTAAATTTCTCAAGGTCCAAAGTGCACTTCCCTGATCTGGAAGTGTCATTTTGTGTGATTGGTCTACATTTTGTTACTGTTTGTTTCGGGGAGGATTGCTAGACAATCCAAAAGAACATCTGCATAGGAGGCTGAAATTAATCTGAGTGAGATAATGATTTTGCGGTGCTAAATTTTCCAATTCTTGTAATAATTTGATCAGTATAATAGTCCATAGTTTGTCTGTTGCCCCATTGATAGAACATGTGCATCAGTTGCCAAGTGTTTAAGATGTCATAGGTGGCATTTGCTTTAGGAACACAAGATTATTTTTTAGTTCTGTGTTTTACATGTATTGTAATGAACATCTTCCTCACCTTTTTTATTTTCTCTGACTTATGTAAACTTCCAGCAAAACTATTCCAACACTGCTTTTACATTTTTGTAGGGAACTAGTGAAAACACTCCATGATCGAGGCACTGCAGTTTATCTTGTATCTGGTGGGTTTAAAAGAATTATTCAAAGAGCAGCAAAAGAACTTGATATATGCAATGAAAACATCTTTGCCAACACACTTTTGTTTGACAATGAAGGTATGTTCCCAAAAAAGCTTTTTTTTAGCTTTTTGTAATAAATATCTTGTGGGCAGAGGTTACTTTGTTGCAATATGTACTTGGGGGAGTGAGGGTGGAAAGTAGGTTCTGGAGTCAACAGTCCTTCATGCAATGCACATGTTCTGCCATATGAATCATTCATTGAGCAAATGGTGCATTCAATTTTTATGTTTAGCAAGGAAAAAGAGGACACACAGATATATTTGTCTCACAATTAAGTACTCATTTGGATGTTGATGTAGTTTTCTGTTACTATTTGATTACGATTCAGTATTTGAATGATACACATTTTAACTTCCTATCACACTTGTTGTTATTTATACCGTTATTTATATCTATATCTTTTGATATCTATATATTGACAATCTTAATGTAAAAAAGTCTTTTTTTTAGTGTAGTTTACAGATTTTTAGGTTTCTATTTAATTATAATACTGCGGATAACACTAAAATGATTTATAATTAATACAATACAGCAAACACCTGCTAATATGAATGTGTGGCTAAAGAATCTCGTGGCAGAAATTTGGCACTTTAATACCCAAAAATATAAGAACCTGTTTTAAGCCAAGCAAAATCAAGCAGGTTCTTTAATATATGTGGGTAACAGGTAAATTGAGAGAAATAGTTTAACCAAGGAGTGTGACTTTGAGATTGCCTTGATATTACAAGAAGATACTGCACCAAACTGTAATTACAAATTGAAGCATTACTGTAATTCCTACTACGAAAACGTGTTTACATATAAAGTACAGATTGTAATTGTCTTCATGGACCTTGCATAAAATGAGGTTTGCAATGTACAGTTGTGAACAAGTACTGTATATTTAAGGACCAAACTCAAGTTTCTTTATTTTTCTGGTAGTCAATAACTGTATCTCCTTCATAGAAATTAAGAACCTAACCAAGAACGTACTTAGCCTGAATTGCCAATAAATCTCCCAAAGTAAAAGAACATTTTTTGCCAGACCACAAAAAATGTAGGTTCTTATTAGCATGTGTTTACTGTATTATAACAGTATTAATATACATGTACTCAGTCTGCTATAATGTAGTTAGGGCAGGTCTGTGTCAGCTTCCGCTGCCTTCCTTCATCCTGTGTTACCAAATATAGTTTTATATGCTGTGTAGCACTTTGCTTCCATATTAGCAAATGTTTACCAGTATTTTTTTAATGTATCTCTGCTGAACAATGCTAGGTCGTTTTGCTGGTTTTGACGAGAATGAACCAACATCAGATTCTGGTGGAAAGACACGTGTTGTGGAACTTTTGAAAGCCAGATATGGCTACAAAAAGTAAGACTACAGTTAATGCACATCAATTTTTTTTTCACTTATCTATTATATTACACTGTATATATTTTTTTTTGCTTAGCTGTTGAACTGTTACAATTAAGAATAAGGAAAGAAAACATAGTAAGCGTTAATAAAATGTGCAACCTGACAGTCACTACTCTGGATTTGTAAAAGTTCATTCCAATGGAAACTTTATTACTCAACAGTACTGCATCTTTACAAAGGATTTCTTAAAGTATTTTCACGTGAAAACTTTCAAAATGGCTTGTACGTGGAGCAAATAAAACTCGGAGTTGTCATTAAGTTTTGAAGCAGCCCTAGCAGATGAAGATTCACCCATAATATCATTCTTGTCGCAAGTAACTTACATATAGAATTATGTTGTGGTCCAATTTTATCCTTGGTTCAAATTTTATTTCCCTTTGTTTTGGGGTTGGTAATGTGTAATGAAAAGTTTAAAACAAAGGGAATTAAAATTTAAACCAAAGATAAATTTAACCATAACATAAGCCTCTCTATTACAGTCAGTACCATTAGTCCCAAAGGTATAAAAACTTAACGCAATCCCCAACTCTATAATATGGAAACCTCTATAATGTGGTTGCTGCTGGATCTGTTTATCTCAGGTCCAAAGGTTGAGGTGTCACAGTCATTAACAATTATTGGACGAAGTTGAGCAAAATATCGTGATTTGTCTGTGGCGAGCAGAAGAAAATTTGCTGCGAATGATAATAATAATTATTGTTCTCTATATTATACTTACACGTTATTGTACACTGTAAGATGTTAAACCAGTTTCTTAATTAACATGTACGTCATTCTTGGCTTTGAAACAGAACTAGTGAAACCCTAAGAACTTATTAATATTAATAAGCCATATATGTAGGAGTTATAGGTACTCTGTGACCAGCACATTGGTAATTTTTTTCTGCTTTTTAGCTTGGTCATGATTGGTGATGGAGCCACAGATCTGGAGACATACCCAACAGCAGTGAGTATTGTTATAATCTCTCAAGTGAAAAACATTAGTTTAGACAACTTCCCTATAGACTGGCTAAGCAAAAATTTGGGTGTGTCTTATTTCAGAATGAGAAAAAATGGACATGCTTTAGAATCCCGATTTTCTGTACCCTTCTTGGTTTCTTGTGCTTCCAGTGACTTTCATTTCAGTCCCTATTCGGCACTAATTTAAGTTCCAATTTTGCAAGCCTGTCCTGCCCCTTAATAAACCCCATAGTCCTTGGCTCTCGACACTCGATTGGATCTCAAACGGGACAGTCTTTTAATAATCGCCACGTCGCCCGTCCAATGAACACTTAACAAATTCAGTCAGTACTTTTTTGTAACCTTTATAGGATATGTTTATTGGCTTTGGAGGAAATGTTGTACGGGAAAAAGTGAGAATGCAAGCCCCGTGGTTTGTTACTGACTTTAAAGAACTTTTGCAAGAACTCCAGCCATCCCATGCTGTAAATGGAACGGAAGTTCATATGAATGGACTAAACGGAAGGGAAAGACTCTTGAATGGCTTAAATGAAAGTGAAGTTCCCATTAGTTCAGTGAATGGAACAGAAACGCATATTAACGGAACTAGATACTAGAAACCTTAGCCTGTACTCGTACACTGACATTTCAAGATTACCTTACTTTGCAAGGATACTTTCAACACATTTTACCACGTTGATATTCTAATTATTTATTTAGTTATGAAAATCTGTTAGCGATACAGCACTTGCTATTATAATTCTACTTTTACCATTAATGAGTTCCCAGTCTTACCTTCATGTAGCTAAATTAGGAAATTTCTAAATTGCGGATTAAGTTAAATCATTAATTTTTTAAATTTAGTGACTGCATGTATTTGAAATGAAAAATAACATCTTTTATCAGCCCCGATTCTACATGGGAATGTTAAGTTATTATACAAAACACTTGTACTTTTATTGTTATATGCTAAAGTTTTGTCACTGTTAATAATTTAATAAATAAAATAGAGCATATTCAGTAACTAAGTAAGCTGTAATTACTATCTATACCTCTTGCATTGAAAAATGTGAAGAAAATTCTTAAACAGCTAGCTTGTGGTTGCAAGAGACAAAATTCGATATTTATTTTAATACAGAGTTTTGTTTCAGTTACAATGAACGTGAAAACTGCCAAAATTAATTTACAGCTGTGCTGGTCTATAAGTATACGTGATTTATGAGGTTATGTGGTGACCCTTTTCATTTCTTTCCCTGATAGAAAGTAGAAAGCTTTATATTCTAACACGAGGACGACTGTACTACCAGAACTAGATTTTCTCAATACAATGTGCGCACGTGAACCAGCGTCATTTTGGTGGGAAAACGTAATAGCCGTCGTCATTCTACTACGAGTTTTAGCGAGAATGGCGTAGTGACGGACATTTATTAAATGATAGAAGTTTTATCATTTTGCGATCGGGAGAAGGCACAACCCTCTTCATTAAAGTAACCGTGGTAAGTCTTCTTGTGAAAAAAAGTACGATGAAACTTTCGGCCGTGGTGTCGATTTTTGAGAATACGTGCACAGTGTATATCTCGTTCTCGCAGTCGTCCTCGGATAGGAGATAATTCCTTGACCTTGTTTTAATACCATATTATCTCTCTTCGTGATCGGCGATTTGTTTACTTACTAACATGTCTTCTCCCTTAAGGAAATCAGAGGGAATCAGATTAAATTATTTGAGTTAATCAGCCTTTGAAAGGTGAAGCACTTGCAAGTTTCATGTTAGTTGCAATCGAGCAAGTGATTGAACGACCGATTTTATTGAAATTTCAATGACAGAGTTTTCTCCTGGCCGCTTCCTTGTAAGCAAGGAGCAAAGAATCTCTATTTAACGGCAAAATTGAATAGCCAATTCTGCTCATTTGACTATTAAATCTTTGTAACTTGAAATGGTAGGCTTTGTGAGTTGTTTATTAAAAAAGGAACCAGGAGGATCCTTGAATGGTTTTATATGCCACCTTCCTGACATTGGGCAATGGATAGACACCTCTTTATAGCTTAAACTTTCCAAATGTAGTGAAGACAGCTGTCACGTCCGATGAGAGACGCCGTTAGGACTTTTCCCTGCCTAAGCTGCAATTATGAGTTGTTGGGACTATTTGACGGGAGTTTTACCGGTGAATGGAAGGAATATAGAAATGTTACAGGCGTCACAGCGATTAATCCGAGTAAGGTATTCGGTCGGTCTCTATCACAAGCTTATTTACTGAAAAGCTCAAAATTTACGGTTCATAGTTGTCTTCCTACAAAGTTGATCCATCTAAGTAAGCTTAAATTTTGGCGCATTATTATGGACGGCGCGGCAAGACGGAGATTAAATCTTACGCTTCCCATGATGCCTCACGCTTTTCTTAAGTTCTACTCGTGCGATCCCTGGCCGGTGAAGGAAGCCGGAACGGCATAATGAAACATGATCCACCTTGTGAAAAACCATTGACTGGTCTAGTATTATTCAACACTCAAGAAAAGATGATCAATTTTTAAACGGATCAAACATGTTGTATCCAATCCAATGATGTTAAACCATGGATAATATGAAGACTGGATCGGAAGCTATTGTCGTTGGAAACTAGTGTATCGGTTTTCCCCTTCTTCAAGACCGAGCCCTCTTCATTCCTGTTGATCCTTTTACTTCAAAACATCGGGCTTTTTTATAGTCGATGATAGAGCCATAAACAAGGAAAAAATAGACGCTTAAAAAGATGAACTGCTCTCGACAGTATGACGTCACATTTTTCCACTATATTGGAATTGATCACGTCAGCTGGTTTCTTATCCAGTCTTTCTGTTACGTATCCATGGTTAAACCTGCAAAAGAGAGGGTCCCTAACTGGTTTTTCGGGATTCGGGATTCATCTTATTTGACGCGAGGGATTCGGAAAAGGGGGAAACGAGATCAGGGATTCGGGAAATTTTGTTTTAGGGATCGAAATGTGACCTGTATTTTTAAAATTGAGATAAAAGGCTATGACTGAAAAGACTATGACCTAAATAGATAAAGATAAGGAGTTTTAAAAGACCGTAAAAAGTAAAAAGCATGGCTGTTATGAATACTCCATTAAACACACCCACTTAAATATAGCATTCTGTTGATTTAAAACTGCGCTACACAACTCAGCGCAACGCAGCTATACGGCGCAATATCAACCGGCTTTGCTACACTGAGTGTACAGTGACGGCTACGTTTGGCGGATTATTTTATGTTAAGCTTTCACAATATAGCATAACGAAAACAACAATAAGCTTTATTTGCATGACTATAACAGAGTATTACAGTATTGCAATAAAGGCACTAACAAGTTAATTCTTAATTTTTTAACCCGGCATTTATGGTCATTTGTGCATGGGAGTAGTTCTTCCGCCTCTCAATTCGAGGATTAAATATTGCTTAACTGATAGAATTTCCATCATTTTCATGGAGCTTTTACGTAATTAAGTATTTTTTTATTACTTCCTGATAGCGTTTACAGAATGAGTATTGGCATTGACAAAAAGCAGTAACGTTATATAATCAAGAAAATGATAAATATAGCCATTAGAGGAACATATTATATCTTTTGTTGTAGAAATAGGAACTGGGATAGCCCAGGCTTAATGCAGTTTTGATTTTTTTTTTCTGGCTTTTGTTTTGTTTTTGTTTGTTTGTTTGTTTGTTTTTTTGTTTTTGTTTGTTTTTCTTTTTATAAATAATCCAATCTCAAGCAGCATTTGTAAATTGCCTATACGTAGCGAGATTTACAATTGTACATTTAAAACACAAATAAAGTTTACATTATTATTATTATTATTATTATTATTATTATTATTATTATTATTATTATTACTATTGGAGCTTTTATGATGGGTTTTAAAGAAAATTTCGAGAAACAAGTAGTATTTCATTTTCAAAATGACTGGTCCGGGCGGCCGATAGCCTGATTCTCAGACGTCCGAGGTCGTTCGCGGTCCCTTTCGCTTCCCTCCCTCTCCTCACTTGTGGAACTCGCACAAGTAAGCCTGCTCGCAGGTTAGACCAACTATATGGTGAATACATACATGCATGCAAAATTCCCTTTTACGAAGTAGGAAAAAAAGATAAAGGAGTTTAAGCTAGAGAACAAATTGAAATCTTATATGTGCTTTTTCGATCAGGAGATTTTTCTATTTCTAGGGGTGAGAACGGGAGGGCATGATGAACTGCATGATCGCCGGAAACTGTTATTGTTTTTATTGTTGTTTTGTTTTTTTGGAGGTCGATATTCATGGAAGTCAGCGTTGCGTGACCGAGGCAAATAACACCCTTGCTGCTGTGAGGATTGAACTCTTTCCTCAAGCTTTCCTTTATTCCAAGAAATATGCATAGCGGGCAACTACAATATGCGAGCGAAAACGATCGTCAAAGACAATCTACACGACACCGCCGGTTTGGGTAGAGGTTGCGCACAGGCTATAAATAAACAAGAATCACTTCGTGAATTTTACCGGGGCCACTTTTGTCTTGGCAACCAACGTGGAAGGGTTTTTCTCATCAACAAGTTTGTCAGGCGACATGAAAATCTTTTTTATTGCAAATATTCCTTAGAGATGAAAACAAGGTGTAATGAATAATGTGAAAAGAGAAAATGTCAGGGAATCCCCCATTCTGAACAGATGAGAGTTTTCGCATGTCGCTAACGTAAATATTGCGTGACAAAGGTTATGTGAAACAGTCTTTTTTGGTTTTTCATTAGTTAAAGCAGTGATAGACTTTCTTGTAGTGAGTCTTAATTATTTGTCGGCCAATATTTGACGAAGTTTCCTGTAGCGAGTGCGAATTGTAAGGTATTGAAACGCACAAACAAAGTTTCGCGCATGCAAGTTTAATAAGTTAAGATTTTTGTTTTGTCGTAGTGTACACAGTTCAACAGCGACTAAGCTTTGTCATCGTTAAGATGAACACTGTAACAATATTTTTCAATACACAGGGATCTCATTTATTGATAAGTAGCAAATATAGTCGCATTAACCATTCCGTTCCAAAACTAATGGCATTAATACTTGACCCTAAGCCTATTTAATGAATAATTAATTTTCTTTGAATTATTTCAATATACTTCTAAATCACAAAGGTAAACAATTATGTCCAGTAAAGGTGAGGGCATAAAAACGCCCAAGCAATGTGTTAATGCAAATAAGGAAAGAGGAAAGGGCAAGGGGAGGAGGAGGGAAAAAGTAATTTGTTCGCATGGCGAGTGTGTTAGAACGATTGACTGCGTTGCAGCAAAGGTCACATGTAATTAAAACTCCAGAACAATAGATGAGGGTTCAATACATTAACACATTAACATGAGTCAACTCCCAATCCTAGGCTGTCAAGTTACGCAGTTTTTCTCACGTTTTCAGATCGATTACATAATAATAAGATATAATCTAAAGTAGCTAAAATTAAAGAAGAAAAACATAAAAATTCTACATCAACGTCTATTAAACGAATAATGTGAAAAGACAAAATGTTAGGGAATCCCGCATTTTGAACAGTTGAGAATTTGCGCATCTCGCTAACGTAAATATTTCGTGACAAAGGTTATTTGAAAATATTTTGTTTTGTTGCTTCATAAGTCAAAGCAGTGATAGACTTCCTCCTAATGAGTTTTAATTGTTTGTCGGAAAATATTTGACGAAGTTTCGTGTTAAACAAAGCTTGGCGCATGCAAGTTTAATAAGTTAAGATTTTTGCTTTGTCATAGTGTACACAGTTCTACGTCGACCAAGCTTTGTCATCGCTAGGATGAATACTGTAACAATATTTTGCAATAGACAGGGATCTCATTTATTGATAATATATAAGTGGTAAATCCATTCCGTGTGCAAACTAATTGAATTAATATTTACATGGTTACAGTTGTTGCTCCCTACTTCAAATTTCTGAACCACCGATATATCTCAGCAAACACTCCCAAAAGTAACGAGCCAGCGATATATCTCAGACAGCGATATATCCCTAACAATGTAACTTTGAAAACACAGAAACGCGTTGCATTTTATGACCGGTGCCAGCCTTCGGCTAGGCCCCGGTAATAAGGGTGCGCGCGTGCGTGCGCGTGGTGGGCTGCAATGTGGGCTTATATTAATATTCAACAGAGTTGTTTAAATATTAAATATTTGAAACATACCCAATCAGACCGTACCCGGACCTGACCTCATTCCGAAGATCTCCGAAGCCGCCGATCTTTCATCAAGGTAAGAATTTTTAAAAAAAAATACTGTATGTTTATTATGTCTTCATTTTTTCAATTTAGTACTTGAGTAAAAGCTTCTCAGATTTAATGCATGGGCTTTAAAATCAGGATACTGTAAAGAGAGTTACCTATGACAAAACAAAACTGGAGCACAATTCGAAATCTTGTGGCTCAGACCTTTCGTCCCCGTGTGGT